TTTTGAGCTAAGTACAGTTGAGTACTGTTTAGATTTCTATTTTTCCATTCTTGTTGCACGCGAACCTTTTTTATTTTTGCAGTGAAATGTGTTATGCTTGTTCTGAAATATTTATTATTTCTTATGAATTTTCTCTACAAATTCTGATAAATATAGTAAATATATTCTGAAAGTCCAGGAAGAAATTGAGCAAATTTTAAAATTTACACATTTTTAACATCATATATCCCCACTTTTGATGTTCTTTTCTTAATATTTAAGATAAGTTAAATTGGCCTATCTGCTTAAATTCTGCAAAAGTTTAATAATTGATTATGCGAAACAATTTGAATCTTTTTCTTAGTCAAAATTTTAAAATGTCTTTTTGGAATATATTTATAGTTTATTTTTGTTCCATGCTTTATTTGGATAAAAATATTGGAGGGAAAATGTTAAAGATTAAGTTTTTTTATTAAGACACAGATGTCAGTGCAAAAAGGTCATATTTAATGTACTGTAGCGCTGAAAGAAGCATAATGACCCTCATATTTTGATTTGATTTTTAATCAAGCTATGTGTGTAGAAAGTAAAAATATACTAGACAAAAAAGTTTAAGCCTTTAAACATATCAGGAGCCAACCTCGTTAAAAGTAAATTAATAAAAGACCATATTGACTAGATAATATTGTTAACCTAATAAAACGTCTTTTCCAAATGTAATAAAAAGGGAAATAACTCAATTTTCTTTCACAACGTGGAAAAATGGGAAATTGAGTTATTTCCCTTTTCTAATGTCAATAAAATTGATCAATGCGCTAGTTTTTGACCTGATGCGGCGATGTCTGAAAAACAAATGATTACTTTTTTTGGCCTTATCAAGTTAATCTTATCTATAGCAGTCTAGATATGGACTTGACTGAAAACTTTTAACAATGCAATGTTTGTTTTCTCTCCTTACATTTAGTGTGTTTGCTTTGAATTTTATTTGGCAGATGATATGTTCAGTAAAATGGTTTATACAAAAGAATGCTTAATTGAAGGAAACAAAATGTAGGTGTTTCTATTTTGAAGGGCTTTTTTTTATTTAATGGTGATTATCTTCCATTTCATTTACTAATCCTGATTAATGTTTTTTTTTTTAATTGTATCCCCCCCCCCCCATTTTTCTCCATGAAGACAGAAAAGAGAAATAGTACAGTTGCACTTGTATAAGATTAAGATTTGAAACCTCAAAGGAAATATTTTTGAAGATTGCATTGATTTTTATGGATTTGGTCTTCAAGCCCCAGGGTATCGGAAATTATGAAAATTATAAAATATGTCCATTTTTTAAGACGAAAACGTGAAAATGTTAAATGATAATGGACGACAAAAGACTGTCGACGTTCGACGAAATCATTAAGCAATCGGCTACATGAATGACTCTTTTACTACTTGCTAATATTGGGTGATACGTGCATAGAGAGATAGAAAGATAAAGAGAGAGAGAGAAGGAGAGAGAGACTTTTTCATTCTGTTATTTAATCCGAAATAGCTTTGGTTGGCATCTTTAATTTACAAAGGACTATAAATCAGAATCAAAATCAGAAAATTTTATTTATTGTCGGATTTTTAAAACTCAAGTAACAAAAGCTCTGTAGAGTTTTTGACCGACATAAATTGTGTAACATAAAATACATAAATGACAATTAGACTTTAACCCCTGCGTGCATAGGTTGACATTGTTATTAGAGCATGCATCCATGTGTATATCGTATTTTTTGGTACTTTTGAAATAAACAAATGAATGTGAATATAATTCTGGGGTTTTTTTGTGTGTGCTTCTTTGGCAAAATTGTTGCGTAACGGCGTAGCACAGAACGTGTTTGACCCCCCATTTAGCTATAAATCCAGTCTTGTCAGTTCGAATCACACTGGAGCTCAAATAAAATTTACCTTTCCAAACAAGTTTTATAAAAGAAATTATGGACTTTTATTGAAAAAATGACCAAAAAAAGAGTTGCATGAGCACTGCCAATACATATCAAGCAAAAATACAATCAACTACTTAAATAAAGCTGTAACAATTTTTGTCCCCGTTTGAACACTGCAGGTCTCAAGTTGTTCACAATATGACCTCAACAATAAAAGAGAATATGTCGCAATCAAGGAGAATAATTATTTACATACTCCATAATTAATAGTTAATATGTGGAGTGTCCAGTAAATCGCTGGTTTCCGAATAGCACTGCTAAGACATATACTTTATGTAACAGACATGTATATAATCTGTGAAAGCAGAAATGAAAATGGACAAATATGCTATGCTGGTATTTCTACACACTTTAGCAGATCTGAAGCAAAAAAGGTTATCTTGCAAATACCCCCTACCCCCCCCCCCCCAAAAAAAAATACTGGGTTGTTCAAGAGATCAAAACAAAAATCTAGAATATCAATTAGATTTTATATAAGATATAAGAAAATGCTCTCATGACAGCCTGTTTTGATAAAATTAATGAAATATGTTTCAGCCACAGTCTGAATGTTATGCGCACAGATGTTTTCCGGAATTTTTTAAAGGAATTTTGGTTAATTATTAATCAAAAAAACTTAATTGAGCAAAAATAAAAACAAACTGGCAATCTGCAAGTACCAATGATGTTTAAAATATATAATACAAAAAACAGTACTCACCCGATTAATTGGTATTAAAGGCCAAAAATTCGAGTCTATTATTTTAATATAGTACTATAGATATACATGTGCATATGTATATAACCCAGTTAAAACTACAATGTCATGCATCACAACAGACATATAATTAACACACACACACACACAACACAAAGCAGTACATATATTAGATACAAAGAGGTCACACAAAAAATGTCCATTTCCGAATTTTCGCATTTTTGTGCAAAGTTTCATCGATTTCACAGCAAGTTTGTTTCGAAAACATAGAGCAAAAGCTATCTGTCAAATTTATATATTTCAATTACTAGAGACAGATTCATTATATGTATGGAAATCTTGGATTGGCAAGCTTGTGCTCTATGTTTCCAAAAGAGACTGAAAAGTATTTCGAATATGACAAAACCCACCAAGACTGAGGAAATTGGGGAAAATGTCAGACTTGTGCAACCTCTTGTGGCCTCCTTGTAAGCTTTGAAACAAACTTATTATTTAGTGCTGGTTTTTAAGTCAATCATTATTTCAGCTACAAACTACATATTTCAAAATTTCATTTTGTTTTTACATCGAATTGCAGATTCTTCCGTTATCATACCTTGCCCTTTGTTTGTCCTCTCAGACCGACTGGCTACAAATAACTCCACTCAAAAGTTTTTTTTAATCTTCAGGAAACAGTCTTTTTTCCCATTTTTATTCCTACATTTGCTCATCCTATGACAATGTATGTTTAAAATCTTGGGGGGGGGGGGGGGAATCTCAACCTAAATCTTTTTTTTAACCTTGGGTCGGGAGAGGGCAAATAAACATTATTTGAAAGATGGTTCAATTTATGTCAGTGTGATATCGATTTATTTTATTCTTAATCGATTTTGAAATATCTTTATTGTGTAGATTATTGGAAATTAAATCTTCGAAGATTGATGTGAAACGAAATTTACCAGTCCATCTCTAAAGGCTTATCTCTAAAATTTGTTAACATACTGGGTATTGTAAAAAAAAAACAATGTTTACATAATAAAAAAGAGCTTACTTTGACATGAAACACATTTACAAAAGAGTGATTTTAAAGTAATATATAGTGAGATAAGTGATTTTGTCTGTTTTAGCTAGTTTGACACAGTACTTCGTATGGCATAATACCCCCTTCAAATTGTCAGTAAAACGTGTTCTCTCCTTATGTAAATTTTGTTTTTGCGATTTTATTTGTTATAACCTCTTCAACAAATATGAAGGAGTTCGCATGTTTATTCAAATGTTCTCCATTTTGCTATATAATCTGCTTCACAATAACTTGTTCTTCCTTCCCTTCAAAATGAAATGCATAGTACTTTTTGTCCTTTGTATATTTATTTACATCTCATATGCCGAGAGTCACGAAAAAATTTCAGAAGAAAAGGAAAAAGGAAAAAGGTAATTTTCAGTGAAATTACTTGTTTCTTTAATTTGTTAAACACCCTTCGAATCATTTTACTCATATGGAACGCCACTGTTTGCAAGTGGAAGGCCTCAGGGTTATTGAACATTTACTCCGACACGAGTCTTCTTTAAGGACAGTCTCATCCGAAGTGTCGCAGTAAAATTTGAACCTGCGACGAAAAATTCCACTCTTTCTACCGATGCTGTTTATAGAACAAACGTTGTACAAACGACTGCGGTGCCCAGTTTCTATGTAATGTTTTCCTTTAAAATGCAGATACCTGATGTAAAATTTTTTTTTCATTTAGATCTACTTATGGTTACTGCAATCCTTCAACGGGGTATAAAAGATCGAAATGTTCATCCAAAGTCAAGATGGTAACAACTTATTACAAAGCGTGTGGATGGCTATGGAGGAAACGGTGTAAAACGGGTTCAAAGTAACTTTTAATGCTAGTATTTTCCTGATTTATGTCCTAAACTGCTAATATATACATGCATTTCTTCTCAGCAAACTAAGTCAAATAGATCTAATCTGTAAATATTTTTTTATTTTCTCTTTAATTACATTTTTGATCCCCATAATATCGCTCCATTTCTATTATTTTGCTGGTACAGGACTAGTACTGCTAATGAAATATTCTCAGATGTAACTTTATTAAATGTTTCTTTGGGAATCTGATAGTGAAGAAAACTCAGTCTGAAACTCACTACAGAATTCATGCTGCATTGTGAAGGTGTTTGCTTAATCTGAAGATATGTTCAGTAAATATTTTAATTATTTTGAGCGTAGATTTGGAAAAAAGTTTGAGTATATCATGATACTTAAAAAATGCAACGCTTTTAATAAGCGAATCGGATCTTCAAAGAATAGCATATTAACTTTAATTAACAAAATGTTTTAGTTAATAAAATAAAAAGTCATAATAAAAGATATGAAAAGTAACGTTGTTCCTAATGTTTTGATGCATGTGTACTCGTGTTCTGAATAGACAATGGCTAATGTAACGGGAGGCATAAATAATGGCAACAAAATATATTTTTAGATCATTTTTGTTGACATAAATAATTTCTCCGTCAATGAATTTACACGATTTATCTTCCATTATGTGGTACCACACACTACGAATCTATTGATTCTTTTGCTGTTTAAATTAGGTACTGGTGGAAGACAACATATCATTCATGCAACGTCAAATGTACAGGTAATTTCTTAAAAACACTTAAAAAATAATAAAGAGGTTTTGTTCGGAAGAATAAAGAGTTACTATAGAAGAAAATAAAGAAAATAGATAAAAGTTCCTGATGTAGAGAATATGGCAATAAGGTTACTTCCATTGGAATTTTGTTGTTTTACATATATAGCCATATCGTTTCTTTATTAAGTTTGGAGTCATTGGGGAAGTTGGAATGGATGGGGGTCTTGTTTTGGTAACTCATGCATTGGGCAGCAACTGAGGAGTAGGTCTAGGAAATGTAGAAATCCAGGACTTTCTTGGGGATTTTGGATATATAGGAGGCGTGGATGTATTGGACAATCTAAACAAACATCAAAGAAACAATGTTTGAGAAGGGGTACTATTTTAAAGTTGTACTCATGACTTTTAATGCTGTAAAGGTATTAATAATTAACTTTAGGCAGAACTTGTATGTATAAATAACAAGCATTCTGTTTTATGATATATGAAAGTAAATGGAGGCTGGAGCTCATGGGGGCCATGGCGAACATCTGGTGCGTGTTCAAAGACATGTGGACAAGGGTTAATATTGACCACGAGAGAAAGAACGTGCTCCAATCCACGTCCCCGATGTTACGGAAAACACTGCCCTGGATCATCAAAAGTCAGCTTCGTCAAGAAATGTTTTGTGAAGCATTGCATAGGTATTTATATAGTATAACTATATGTAGTACTAAAGGACGTTTTTTTTATATTTCTTACACGTAAATTAGATTTTTATCAATATCTTACTTGAGTCACTTGGTCTATATCTCTTACTGCCTTTCCTTATGTCAAAGTCTTTCGTTCCTACACCTTTCTTTGAAATGGATGAACGTATTTTTACCCATTTAAGATGTTGTTTTTGTGCAAGGGTAATGAAGTATAAAAGGTAAATGTGGTGGGTCCATAACAATAACAATAACCAAGTATACGTAACTTTCAAAATAGTCTTTCTTTCATCCTGCATGGACATAAAGCAGACATATTGTTGTCTTTGCTAATGAAGAGCAGCGAACACCCTCATATTGTAACTTCTCATTCCATTGGATAGAGTCTTGTATTAAAAATTCAATATATGTCTTATTACACCACATACATAAATGACAATTATTTATATTGATATTAATGCACAGTGGTTGAAAATTAAAGAAAATTTACAAATACCTTTGGTAATTCCAAATCTCAACCAAGGGACTAAAAGCATATCATCTGACATTGAGTAAAAGAAATGTTAATCATTTTAATTGTTGTTTATTTTGTCATTTTTTTTATATATATATATATATATATATATATATATATATATATATATATATATATATATATATATATATATATATATATATATATAGCCATTGTCCAGAAGTACTGAAAATAACAAACTCATTTATTCAAAAATGTATTACATCTAGAAATGACTGCATAACATAATTATTTTACAAATGATGTACAATTTATCTATGATTATGTATAGCCTTACATTTTATACCAGATTATTGTTTATATATAATGAACAATTGATGATGTGCCTTTGCCAATTATTGTAATTGTGTTTGTGCCAATAAATATTTGTATTTGTATTTGTATTTCAACAGTAAACAATATATATACCTATGGGTTTAAAAACAAAACTTCAATTTAGAGCAAAGCTTTATTTTCTATACAGTAAACGGGGGCTGGGGTTCCTGGCAGACGTGGAGTAATTATGGTACATGTTCAAAAACATGTGGATCTGGGAAAAAAGAAAGGCATAGAGAAAGATACTGTAATAACCCAGTCCCAAAATACGGGGGAGCGGCATGTCATGGGAGGAGTAAGGAGAAAGAATCAGCCATTTGCAATGTTCAACATTGCAAAGGTAAAGCGTGTTGATATTGAATGTGTAAGATATCCATCGTGTAAGGAAATTTCTATAGCTTGACAAAGTGTTTTGTAACATAATGTATATATGTAAAAGATAATCATATTACTCAAATTAAATTCATTTGATTGATTGTATATATTGTTTAACGTCCCTCTCGAGAATTTTTCACTCATATTATAGAGACGCCACCACTTGCCGGTGAAGAGCTGCAAATTTTGACCTATACTCGGCACTCAAGGCCATTCAACAGGGAGGAATCTTTTTCGTGCCAGCACCTACTGCGACACGGGACCTCGCTTTATACGGTCTCATCCAAAGGACCGGTCTCCACGTCCCACAGTGGGATTCGAACCCACGACTTAAGGATTGACTCCTTACTTCGCGACTCTAGAGCAGACCACTGCGCCACGCCGGCGACAAATTCATTTGAAGTATATTCCTTTCAAATGCTTTGGTAATAATTTGGGCTTAACATTGCACAACATATAATTTCTGTTTATTACATGAACCAGTAATGACTGAATGTTAAAAACATAATCATATAGTTCTGGAGAAGAAGTCAAAAATATGTTTATAGACAGGCAAAGAGACAAACAGAATGTAAGCAAAAAAGCTTATCGATTTGAGCTTTCAGCTTGGGAGGGATACAAATTGTAAATAAAAGACCACTGTTAACACACTCAACGGCCCTAGAGAGTTTTATTTGAAATTTAAAAGAAACAAATATTTATTCAGTGAATGGTAAGTGGAGTGGTTGGGGTAACTGGGGTCACTTCCGGCATTGCTCTGAGACATGTGGTCATGGAGTACGGTATCGGTACCGGTACAGGGAATGTAACAATCCAGAACCTGAGCACGGCGGAAAAAAATGTCCCGGATCATTGAGGGACGAAGAATTCAAGCGTTGTTTTCTGAGGAAATGTCCAAGTAAGACAATAACAATTACATTTATTAAAATAAATTGCTTCTGTTTGTAATTTTGGTATTCTAATTTATTTTAAAAAGTATTTGTAAACAAAGTTTAAAAAATTAATTGCACATTTAGAGAAATATAATAATTTCAGAGCTTCAAAAGACTAATAAAATCTCAAAGATAAGAATCGGTCAGCAACAAGCGCAAAAAGAATTCAACTTGACGTCTGATGTTGAATTAAAGAAAACAAACTCGTCCTCAGGCCTGACTGAAAAAGGAAAAGGTGTCGGTAAGAATCAATTGTTTTGAATAAATCACATGTAATTTAATGAAATAGAAAAGTCATGAAATTATATTTCTTTCCAGAGTTGCCGACAAATAATACCTATATAGACACCAGCAGCAAGGAGTCCAACTCATCACAACTGGGGTCAAATTCGTCTCTAAATGTAAACCAGAAACCTATACAATCCTAAAAAGGATACTTTTAAGAACAATACAATTTTCTGAAATAAAATTAATGCTTAAAAAATATCCATGAAATTTCTTAGGAAAATATTTTAACTTTTTCATTTTCTAAACAAAAAGGAATTTACAAATATCATCGAGTTTGGAGTAAAAGAAAGGTCCAGTAACAATGAAACATATGGAACAGTATTTCAAGATCAAAAGTCCATATAACAATACAAAATAGGAACAGAACAAACGCAAACCTCCGAAACATCAGAGGTGGGATCAGGTGCCATAGAGGAATGAGCATCCCCCGCCGACCGGTCACACCCGCCATGTGCTCCTATCTAATAGGCCAAAAAGCAATATAACAAAAACAATATTTTTATTTTACTGGTAATGGGTCGGTTGAACGGAGTGGTGGTAGGTATGTTTTTCTTTACAAAAGTACAGCATATGCATGTACAAGCATTTTAGTTGAAGTACGAGAGTTAATCCCAAAGTGATGTCACAACTTCGATAAAATTTTTACCATTCGACGTAAAACAACAAAGCTCTAAATGATGGAAGCTATATTTATTTCAAATCAGACCTGAAAATTTCAATTAAACATAATTGCATGAGTTATATTTGTCAAAACATTGGATTATATAAAACGTACGATTATGGTAGTCGCCGCACCTAAATAACGTCAAATTACGGATACGCACCCTCATACATTTGAGAGTCTCCACTCGTTTCATTAAAATCTTTGAAATTCATTCGTTTATAAATTTCACTTTTTTAAAGAATACTTATTACCCATTGCACACTCATTCTTTTTATAATTAAGTCTGCTGTCAAAATTCTTTGAACAGTAGCATACGACAAACTTAAAATTTTACATATCGCTCTACACGTCCGTCTTTTTTTGACGCCGCACACCATTGAACGTTTCCGTCCGCCTTTGATCTTCTTGTCATTTTCTGAGCATTCAATGACCCATCACCCACCCAAAATTGCTGAAATCATCTAAAGTAGTCTCTTATTTACCTTTACTTTCCCCCGTGTTTCTTGTTAAAAACAATAACACATTGCAGTTTGTTCTGGTATTTTTTCCGCCATTTTGACATTGTCAATGCATTAGAGTAAAACAACAATCTCAATGATAAAAAATAGCAAATATGTCATTTTATTTTTAATTAAAGACTAGAAAATGATGTAAATTTTGTCTTTTGAAATATTGGTCGGATAGGCGCTTTATAAAGATGCTTTTTATGTGTCTTTTTTTGTATTCTTAAAAAAAGTACACTTTAATTCGTGACGTTTGGTTGCAACGCAGCGACATCCCCTACCTTCAAAAAGTTTAACATTATTAAATGATAAATTTAATTATAACTGGATTAATACATGTGCATCCTTTGGTATAAGTAAGTAAGTAAGTAATTTATTTATTTATAGTGACATGTGTACATAATTAAATTCGTTTGTTTACAGACTGTATAAAACAACAATCAACACCTGGCCCATCGGGTCTATATGCCACTTTAAACACAAAATTGAAATGCAATATATAAAGAAAATAAAGAGCACAACGTTAAGAGAATAACAAAAAAGTGCATGAAAAATAAACATAATTGTAATAAATATATATATTTTATATGCATTTTGTATGCTAAGATTGGTAGTGTCTATTATAAAGATTATTGTTAGATGAAAATGACATTGAAATATTATTTTATTTTTTGAACAAAAAGGACTGTCTTCGCGTAAATGAAAAATACATGTACTTTGCAACCTGTCTAGGATAATTTGAGATAAGTAAACATAGTAAATCCATATCTGACCACCCCCTTTGATTAATGCCAGTGTTTTCAAAAAGTTTTGATCGATATTCAGAGTAAAAAGGACAATGCAGTAAAAAATGAATTCCGTCTTCCACATTTCTAGAACAAAAAGTGCAAATTCGATTCTCAACAGATTCACCATGATATCTACCGGTTTCTATTCGTAAAGGTAAAATGCCACATCTAAATTGTGCTAAAATTGAACGTAAATATTTAGGCTTGTTAATTTTCTCTACCAAACCTTGTTTTAAAATTAACATAAGTCCGCAGTTTTGGAATGCTTAAAATTTCATTGCTCCAAAGGTTTGAGTAATAATTGTGTATTTTTGATTGAACCATATTTATATCTACCGTAAGCTTTGACTCAAAATAGTAATCCAGCTCTAGTTGGTGTAATATATCTTTCAAATCACTGCACCAGTTATTCCTACACTTATTGTAATCAACTTCAAAAACAATTCTTGTAATTCGATCATTGTCAAAGGATAAAACTCTATTCCAATATCTGATTATATTTATCCAACGTCTATATTGACTTGGAATCCATCCAGTGTCTCCATAAACCCCCAATGTAGGAGCAAAACGGTGAACCCCAATAAAATAACGAATAGCTCTGTTCTGAATATTATCTATAGGCTGGAATTTTTTGTAACCCCAGACACTTGATGCATAATCCAAAACAGGTATGACACAAGAGTAAAATAGTTTTTCATAAGCATTAAACCTGAAATCTTTATTACTATGAATCGAAGATATAATTTTCCCTAGTGCACGTCCCCCTGCTTTAGCAAGATTTTCTGCATTTTTCATGAAATTACCAGTGTGAGTAAATGTTATGCCTAAATACTTATAATCTTCAACTGTATCTAACTTATTAAGTCCAACAGTAAATTCAAAATTGGCTGCCCTTGACCTAGTTTTATTAAAATGTATACACTTAGATTTATTGATGTTTATAAGAACTCTCCAACGTCTACACCAGCTATGTAGTTTATTTAACATACTTTGTAAATCTTCTGGGGACTTGGCTATTAAAGCGGTATCATCTGCGTATAATAAGATGGACAATTTTCGATCAATTAGTTCTATGCCTAAATTAAGATTATTAATATCCTGTACCAGATCATTTATGAAAATTGAAAATAAGGTAGGAGATATATTATCTCCCTGTTTAACACCAGTTTTGCATCTAAACCAATTTGTAAGTTTATTATTCACTCTTACACAAGATTCTGAACTTTGGTAAATATTCTTCATCGAGTTATAAACTTTACCATCTATATTATGTAACAAAAGTTTGTAAAGCATCATATCCCTATCGACAAAATCAAAACATTTTTGGAGGTCAATAAATGCAACATAGAGATTTTTATTGTTTTGGACTAAACTATTCAATGTAAATAAATGATCTTCACACGATCTATCCTTTCTAAAACCATTTTGTTCATCTGCTAAAATATCGTATATGTTATCTGAGGATAAGACACTGTGACATTACTTTTGGATCAACCCTCATATCTACACACTAGTATTCATTAATTGATAGTGACAAATCATGTGATCGCTCTGTAACTATTGGCTGAACCCATCAAGATCTCTAAAACCTGAGAAAATGTATTATATCAGTTTACGAAACCTAAGATAACACGCTATTAACTTAAATACATGTAATATACAGGTAGCTTATCTTCACACAAAAATGCAAAGAAACATTTGAATGCGAAAATATCCAGTTTGACATGTTTAATGCCTACAATCTTAACAGCTTGATAATATGTAATATATAAGTAAGTACATCATTTATTATAGTGACATGTGTTATACAATATAATGAGAAACATTTAATGTAACAATTAATATCCAAACATCGGACCTATATGTCACTTTTAACAAAAATAAATGAGAAAAATATACACAAATATTACGCATAGCGTTTTTTTTTATGCAGCAGAGATTGCCTGCCTGTGTATGTATGAATTGTATCGATATTTAAAGTTCTGCTTAGGAAAATTTATTAAAAGGAAAGTTACACTTTATACATCTGACATAGAAAAAGTTGGGTTGCATTTAATACTATGAAATAAATCAACTTTATTAAATTTTATGTTACCTTTAAGAAAAACGTTCCTGTCTTAACAAAAGCTGGAAAAGTGAATATACATGTATATGTATGAAAAATCTACGCTGGTTTGATGAGCAGAAATTCTTTCAACACACGTACATTTTCTAACACAAAGCCAGCTTTTGACAAACATGTTGATGAAACAAAGATATCAACAATCTCTTTAAAAGTAAAAAAAAAAAATACTGGCATGTGTGGCTATTCCTTGTACTATACTGTCTACGAATTAATCTATTTATCGGATCAAATTCAAGGGATCACGGCGGTTGTTGTTGGTCAACAGAACCTTTCTCTTCCACGACAATTATTCCAACTCCCATGTTCTCAAAGGTTGGTGTTTGCTCTTCTCTTTTTGTTATTTTTCATCTTGAGCACAATTGCTATCAATATAAAAGACAATCTTCAGAAAAAGATACATTATTAGAGAGGTTTAGCAAGCTCACTTGTACGTGTACATATTTACATTTGTAACTACAAGTTTATATTTGCCTGATTGTTACTTTTAACGTTGAACATTTTTTCTTTTTAGCAAAGTATAACCTGTACTTGTACTTGTAAGTTTTTAAATGAAAAAGTAGTTTACATTTAAAAATCATCCAAAAAAGCAATGATTTTAGTACGTATATCACCGATTTACATAAATATATGCATATACTTATGAGAAAATGATTTTTAAGATTTCTTATATTTTTGCAAATACTGATAAAAGAACCTGTAATTGAAAATCTAGATTAATTTATGATTTTAACTCCCTATAAATTTATATTTTTCATTTACTGACGTTTTTTCAGTTCTATATTATGTGAGTATATGCATTAAAAATCATTGTTTTTGAAAAACGCACACTTTTTGCAAAAACTAAACAGAAGTTATAGAATTATAAAAAAAAATTTGACTTACGTGTAATTTTATAACTTGTAGTTTACACGTACATGTACACGTACAAGTGAGCTTGCTAAATCTCTCTATTATTCCAACTCCCATGTTCTCAAAGGTTGATGTTTGCTTTTCCCTTTTTGTTAATTTTCATCTTGAGCACAATTGCTATCAATATAAAAGACAATCTTCAGAAAAAGATACATTAATATTCAATACTGGTACCGGAGTATCTTATAAATTATATTGATATGTTTTCCTAACCATATAAAAACTTCTCAATTTTAACGTTTTTATAGAAAAACCTTTAAACTGATTCAAATGCATAAACCGATTATTTTGGCTCAAGAACATCTGTGACCTATGAAGGAAGATAGATACTCGAGTATTCAAGAATCTTTCCTTCCATGTTTCTAACTGTATTGATGTATTTATGAACCATAATAAACATTTGAAAATCTGGCTATTCTAGGCATGTATTGATAAACCAGAAGTCTCTGATGAGACTGTGGCTCTACTGGTCTGTACGTATAACAAAGGAAAAGTAGCACTTGGCCTTAAAACTTTGCAACAGACAGCAATTATTTGAATTATGTTCCTTAGTGTAGTCTGAGTATCAATTTATGTTGAAAACAGATGAAAACTGTAGCGAGAGTAGAGTTTTGAAAGTATTTTTTAAGAAATTCTATTTTTAGTAGGGATGTCAAAATTGTCAATAATTGATATTCGAATATTCGATAGGAGTATTCGAATATATTCGAATATTCGATAAAATAAATGCATTTTGCATTATGAAATACATATTTTCACTCTCCTGTCAACCAGTATGCATTTGATGTCATTTTTTGGGGGAAAAAGTTCATGTAGAGATTTGTAAATGCAAAGGAATTATATTTTCAAAATTTTACAGAATATATGCAGAATATACATGTACACCCAAAATGTAATCAAAATTTGTTTCTTAAAATTCAAAAGATTCTTTAGTATGTGCAGATTAATTAATCGTCTTAATATTTATACCATGCTAAACAATTATCTACTGAAAAAATTATAATCAATTAATTTTAGATATTTAACTTTCTGATAATTATTAATATTTTTTAATGATATTTACATAAACAAGGGATCCATGTGTTTTCTGTAAAACTGTGTCCTTACAACAATACAAACTTATTGTATTTATTTGGCACTTTTATACCACTAAATAAATGATCAAAGAATAATATTTTTAATAGTTACAATTTTAAAGTAATCCAACAGGACTTTCTTTTAATATTTCTTTTAAAAATCAAACATTATTCTTAGTTAGCGGTATGAACTTATTAAACGTACAAACTTTTCTCGCTTGTATACCTAAAAACCGAATATTCGAATCATATATTTATATTCGAATATCAACTCATCGAATGAATATTCGAATATTCGTTGACATCCCTAATTTTTAGTAACCATGGCAACTAATAGAACATATAGTTCATCGGAATCGAGACCGATGCACTAAATTAGACAGTACTAGTATATCTTAGTGTTGTATTCTCGTGTGCCATGTTATATTGAAATCAGACCAAAATTGTAGAAGTAGCATTTAAAAGGAATTTCACAGAAATTTCTTATTTTGTAACCATGGCAACATCGTTCATCAAAATCAAAAAAGTGATACACTAGATTATGTATCTGTGTAGTCTACTTGATTGCCAAGTTATAACGATATCAGACCAAAACTGTAGGTGGAGTGGCATTTTGAAAAATAGTTTACAGACATACTGACAGACAGATGGACTGAAGACTTATTCCTTACTATCGCAGAAGCTCTTCTGGTTTCTGACCAGTAGAGTTAACAATTACTTCTTACTGTTTCAATTTGTGCTATTAATAATTTCCCTATCCTACAGGTCAACAGAAGGACAAAAATAAGGCAAAGAAGTGTTTCACAATCTTGTCAAGAAAATATCATGTGTTGCATAGATATGATAAATTGAGCATTGATGAATGAAAAGTGTGGTAGTATGTGTGCATGTTTCAATTTGAAAGTTTTTACACTAGAATATATTTAATACTTCAGAAGATCGTGTGTAACTGCTTTAATGATCAGTATACTTACATGTACTGAAAGATATAAGATGATCAGTTCGAGCAAAACAGCAATTAATCAATGAAAAGAAAAATAACTGCAAAATTAAAAGTTTGTCCTAAAAAATGGATAACAATGGGTTTCAAACTAAATCTTTTCCTGATTTCTGTAATAATAATGTAAATGATTTTTTTATTGTTCATGTTGTTGGTCATTTTTAGTGCTTTATTTAAATTTCCATCCGTATATAACAATTCAGAAAGAAAGACAGAACTATTCACTAACTAACCATCATTTTTATTTGATTCTCCCTTCTTAAATTCTTAAATAAAAAAAATCTGTTATTCCTCACAAAAAAATGAATGAAAATTATAACAAGAATACAATTTCTACAATTCATACAAGTCTTTTACCTATGAACACAATTCAGATATCTAAGTTGACAAATTTTGATTTCAAATACTTACAGTTCACTTCTCAAATACATTAAAACAGATAATTATACTTTGAAAAATCATTACATTTCTACAAAAACTAGCACTAAAATTGACAAACAGGTACAAAATAGACAAATTTAACATCTACTTAAAATCTAACATTGTATTTTTGCTTAACGATATTTAACTAAATTAACAAGATATCTTTAAAAAATAGCAAATAACTGTAAAATTCAGCCCCCTCCCTTCATGCCACCCAAATATTCACAACTACTAGTCACTTATAGTATCATCTAAAGAGTGAAACACAAAAACCCTGACATATTGTTTCATAATGCTTCTTTATGCTTTCATATTGGAATGATGAGCAATACGTACTGGCAAACATACAAAAAATAATGATATGTTGTTCAAATATGGACAATATATTTACTCAGCAGTAAGTGTTCAAAAGGCAATTACAATATTCTTACTGAACAGTGTATACATAATCATAATTATTGTAAATATTTCACACAACTAATTTTCTTTATGATTTGAGTCTTAAGAGATCCAAATCACAATATGAACAAGAAGTAATTTTTCATGTCACTTCTTATATGAAGATTGAATGGTTTAAATTAACAGGTTCCTACAGTAAATTTTGACAAAATGCATTTTGTAAAAATTTAAACCAATGCATCTCTTGGTAAACATGATACATCACACAGAAATTCTGCCTTAATTGAAAAAAAAACAATATAATAACCTGTAATTCTCAAAAATTCCAAACGTAAATAAGTTAAATTTCATTAAAAAGTTGATAATGAATACATACTGATATTTGTTCAGTTCTTTCATTAACACAGAAAAAAATCATCACAATCACAAACTGAAACAAAAAAAAAAACATAGAATGGCAAGACAATATATTAACAGATATATAACAAACAACACACAAAGCCTCTAAGGGGTGTGGATTTTCACACACACACACACACACAGACAGACAGTATAATATAACACCCTGGTGTAATACATTTGGCACAAAAACCAGATGGGTCTCTCAGAGATGCAATACAAAGCCACATCGTGAAGATATTTCAAAAAAACATAATTATTTTTTTTAAATCTTTCAAAACCAAGTTCTTGTTATTTGCTTAAAATTTTTGAGAATCAGACAAACTAACCATTTAGTGCACATAATAAAGTTAGTTCATAGATTATTGAATGCCCCAAATCCCTGTTTTCTCATGTAAAACTTTGCTTTAAAAATCCAATTTTTAATGAACACAATTTAAGCAAACATTGCAGGGAAAAAATCTTAAAATTTTTAACTGGTTTAAAAATCCTTTATCCCGATGAGAGTTACCTCTCTTATTTAAATGTCAATAAACTTGAACTGTACACCAAAGGCAACATAAAGGAGAAAAAATAGGCACTTGAAATGAAATTACCATTGAAAGTTAAAACCATAATGCTACGTTCCTTTAAATCTAACTTACTTATTACATTACAAAAATATCTAAGAAGGCAGGTTGGTCCAAAAATTACTAGACAGGCCCAACCATACAGTATTCAATCCAATGTTACTAAATCAAAATCAAAAGTTTAATACAAAATATATAACAAATTCAAACTAAAGCCATTACTGCTATCTTCTTTTCAAAGTTATTCAAAAAATTTAAAACTGGACATAACAATCCAGTCCTCTTAAGATCTAATCTTATGAATGTTATTTAAATATCTCCCACTACCATAAACAGTAAAAATTAGATTTATTTGATAAAAAGGAAAATAATAAATTTTATTCAATATGCAGTTAAAAAATATATATGTAAGGCATCGTCATTGCCCTTACTTTGTAGAGTTTTTGAGACTCAGGAAAGGTTTATCAAATAGGAGTTGCTATAAGAAGATTGTTTATCTAAAAAGACTCTGTTTCTTGGTTAAATATGACAAAGGTAAGTACTTTGACTAAAAGTAAGATGACAAATTAACACAAATGTCTTTTCAAACCTTTATATTTCAGTTAAAAATATATATCACAATAACGTCACAAAACAAACTGTGAGTCAAATTTGCCCTAAGGCAGGATACTTCACAATAATTGAAATATAAAGGGTTTTTCCTCTGGCATCCGAAAAATGGTTAGTAGATTTTGAAGCTCGCAATTTTTCGGTAATCTTAAGTACAAATAGATACATGTACATAAGATGGCATTATTTTAAAAGTCCCACAGAGGATCAATGAATTCTAAAAAGAGGTCTTGAAAATGTTGTAGACATGGATCATTATATAAATAATAACATATTAGGACATCTTTTGATAATACTGGCATATGCAGACAGCTGGACGGACTTTAAAAATCAGCAGTGAGCTTGAAATTCAAAACACATACATCAAGCAGTACCACTGTTTTCTCCACATCAAAAACAAAATGTCCATATTAGGTCTGAAGTCTTTGTATAATGTTCCATCTTCTTGTAAAAACAAGAGCTAAGAGAAAGATAGTTTGTTGTACACTTCAGTTATCTAAATCCATTTCTCTGTCACATCACAATTTAATTTCTGAGGCATCACACATTTCTCCATCACTGACTCACTGTGCATAGTTTACAATTCAATAATACTGGTCATTTCCTGGTGCCCCGCCCCCTGCCAGATGGGGTGGGCGTGGCCCTGGTGTTGACAGATAGTTTATTGTTTGTCTGTATTTTGGTAGGGGTGGGTGTTTTGGCACTTGGCTTGGAAGTTGAAGTGGAGGGCTTAGAATGAGAAGAAACCTGACTACTCTGTCGTGCTGCTGAGGGCTGAAAAACAAAACACAACTGTATACAAACCACGGACTACAGAAATGTTAATCTTTAGAAATTACAATTTAAAGTAGGAAAAAAAATATGCAAAACTTGCTTTAAATTACTTGAAAAATACATGTTAGCCATATCCACTTTTTTCTCTGAGATAAAATGTAAATATGCTGAAAGTTACACTAAGAATCCCACTGGTTTCCTGACTATATTCATCAGTCAAATGAATTATATCTTTACTACCTACTGAACATGTTCATAAATAGACATATTCAAAACTTTGTGCATCAATTAGGTATATGATTTTGGCCATAATCATGAACTATCCCTACACATGTCCACAAAGCACATTGTATTTATTAATAATTTTCTTGCGATAGTAAGATTCGCATACCTATCTGCATCATAGCAACTAAATTATTAAGCCCACTTTTTTAATACTTACCCCCGATTTACCACCTGACCCAGGCTTTTTCACTCCTCCTGAACCTTTCCTTGTATTTCCATTCTGAGAAAAGTTATATGTGTGTTAGAATATGTTATATTGATATAATTAACAGCACAAGCAATTACCAATACACACATGAGACTCCACATTCCAAATCACATTTATTTATCTACTGATTTTTTTTCTTATATTTATTCCCTCAACTGCCATTAGTTTAAACAAGAGGCCCATGGGCCTTATAGGTCACCTGAGTATCATGCAACAACTTTCCAACAATTGAATTTGATTCATGTTTTAAACTAGCCAGTAGAGGCCATGAAATTCTCAATTTTGAAAGCACCATTGCTTTTTTAATTATACACTCAGCATGTTTATTTTGGTTACTTAATACCCAGAGGTAGATCAGAGTAACAAAGAGAAAATGCATTTCCACTTTTATTGAATTTCAGGGCCCCTGGGTCAGGGCTTCTTGTGTTAGGGCAGGTCCACAGTTGAGCTCCTCCCACAGAACCTTTGGGGCCACATTGTAAAATTTTGGACATTTTTAAAAATTTTATTTCATGTGTGTTGATGAACATCAATGTGTATATTTCAAAGCATATCAATTATTTCAGACTATGTTACACAAAGTACCATGATCTAGGGGCCAGGAAATTAACCATTTTTGTCAAAAACATACTAAGCTCATTGGCATTATACCCAACAACAAAGGAAAATATTTTCAAAGAATTCATGCATTTTCACTATATAAACATTAAAGCCCCGCCCTAACACAAGAAGCCCTAACCCAGGGACCCTGCAATTCAAAAATCTCAAAGAGGCATCCTTCCTCCTTATAACTATGCACATAGTTCTTTGGTTAAATACTCAGGTGCAGAAAAGAAGAGTTTTAAAGAATTTATGCATTTTCACTATATAATCAATAAAGCCCCGCCCTAACACCAGAACCCCCAACCAAGGGGCAATGAAATTCAAAATTTTGGAAGAGGCAGCCTTATTCAACATAGCTATGCACTTGGTAAGTTTATTAAATGCCTATGAACAGAGAAGAAGAATTTCAAAGAATTTTTTGCATTTTCACTGTATAATCTATAGGGCCCCACCCTAACACCAGAACCCCTGACCCTGGGGCCAAAAAATTTACAATTTTGGAAGAGGCACTCTTGCTCATCATAACTATGTACTTAGTTAGTTTATTTAATACCCAGAAGCAGAGAAGAAGATTCAAAGAATAAATGCATTTTCACTATATAATCAATAGAGTCTCTCTTAACACCAAAACCCTTGACCCTGGGGTCATAAAATTCACAATTTTGGAAGAGGCGGTCACTTTCAACTTACCTATGCACTTGGTTAGTTTATTTAATGCCCAGGAGCACAAAAGAAGAATTTCATAGAAATAATGCATTTTCACTATATAACCTGTTTAGCCCCACCCTAGCACTAGAACCCCGACCCTGGGGCCATGAATTTCACAATTTTGGTAGAGGACTCAATGCTGATTACAATCACACCAACAGTTTGACTGCTTGATGTCCAGGAGTAAAGAAGAAGATTTTTAAAGATTGCACTACTTTTAGTGGTTTTTGCCCCACCCCCCAGGCCCCAGGGGGGCAGGGACCATGAAATTCACAATTTTTGTTCCCCTTCACCCATTGATGCTATATGCTAAATTTGGTTGAAATTGGTTCAGTGGTTTCAGAGAAGAAGTTAAAAATGTTCAAATGTTAACGCACGACGAACGACGACGGACGAAAACAGATAGCAATAGGTCACCTGAGTTTACTCAGGTGACCTAAAAAAAATAATGCTGACACTAGTTACTTCTGAACTGTTGAGTAAATATATCTTAACATTCATTGTTTCCTCTGAATAATGAGTTTGTACGTTTACAGTCCTGTCCTTTGAATTGTTATAGTTAGTATACCTTAACAATGTTTTTTCTGAGCTCTCTTACAGTAATTATACCTTAAAAGTATTGTCCTCTAAGCTTCTGAAGTTTTTGTGAGTTAGTATACAGTTAAAGTGTATCATTGAGAGAGTTAGCAAGATTCCAGTTCCCCTCGACCAGGACTATTTCCCTCAGCGAAGCTGATATACTTTAACTATTTTATTATACCGATACAAATTTAAATTAATTGTAAAGATCACCTTTTTCAAAAAAAATATTCATTTACTGATTGACTAATCATTATTCTCATAACTAAATAAATCACAATTTATATTTATTGAAAACTAGAGGATTACGGATAACCGCAAATTAGCATGACTAGCTTTCGACAGCGGGATTAGCTCAAAAAAAATAATGCACGAGGATTAGCCGATTCACAGCGATTTCTAGGGAATTGTTCAGATCTAACCACTTAATTTTATATAGGAAAAAATCAGTAGAGATATAATATTATACTTTCAAAGTGTTTATCTCTGAGCTCTTACTTACATGTAGTGAATACATCATAACATGGCATATTCTCCACTGAGCATTTAAGGAGTCAGTATACACTTATCATTTTTGTCCTCTGAAGTGTTATTGAGCTAGCTGTACCTTAACAGTGTTGCTCTCTGAACTGTTATTGAGTTAGTTGTACCTTAACAGTGTTGCCCTCTGAGCTGTTATTTAGCTGTACCTTAACAGTGTTGCCCTCTGAAGTGTCATTGGAGCCCCCCAAATCTAGTTCACTCAGTTCTCCATTTATTGCACTGTCATCTGTCTTCTGGTTCTGTTCATCACGGAACATCTTCATCAATTCCAACACATTAGTTGACTCCTGCTGTGCTTCATTTCCCTACAATTCAATTATACAAAACACTCACTACATGCAGTATTCATCTCTGTGCTACAAATTATGGAAAGAAAAAAAAAAGCTGCTTTTTTTATGAAACTCCAACATAAAGTTTCAATATTAATAGCTGCATGTGTCAATTTTCTTTTTCTATAAATATACTAAGTGCATTTAATGGATCGGAGATTTTAAGCCACGATTACCGTGATCCAGGGGTGATGTAACACTTCTGTAGCAGTCAGTCTGTGAGCTGGGTCAACTCTCATCATTTTCTCCAGTAAGGATTTAGCTAAAAATATTAAACCATTCTCAATCAATTTTCTAATAAAAGCTTTATAAAAATATTTTGAGAAAGAAGAAATCCTATTTCACAACTCATTTATAAAAAAAAATATAATAAACAATATCTACACTGTTATCTTAATACAAATTTTATCTGATAACAATTTTTTATTTAAAAATTGAAGCTCTGAAAATATACAATGTCCGCCTAAAATGTGATATTCACTGTAACTATGAGAAGGTGGGTACATTTGATTTATGTGGACATTTCCTATATTTATAATTTCTCTGTACACTTTCGTTTGCTGTATATTTAGAGGTTGTCCTTACCATTATCACTGACTTTAGACCAGGCCTCTTCACTGAAGTCTAGTTCTCCTTTTTTAATTAGTTCATATAATGAGTCCTCATCTTTTGATTTAAAAGGTGGACTTCCACTTAACCTTCAATAAAAATTTCAAATTTTTATTTCTGTACATTATTTTAATTTTTTTTTTTTTACGCAATCATAGATTTAAATCCAAATCTTTGGTTCAAGTAATAGCACATCAATGAGAGAACTCAGTGATGTCACCAAATGAGGTGCAATAACTCCTACAGAAACATCAGATATATATTGTGACAAGAGTTGTCCTTCCATATTTCTTCCAATTTTTTTTTTCATAACAGGCATGATTGTGTGCATAGTAATTGAAATTCATTTAGCAGTGATTGCAATGAGATCTTGGAGCAAAGCCGGGGCCATGGGAAAAATTGGACTTGCAGATGGATTCAATGCAAACCACACCCCCGCAGTAAAATGGCATACCCAAAATTCTTCAGATATTGCAAAAAGAGGTCCAATCTAACCAATCAAAGATCCCCCCCCCAAAAAAAAAAGAGAGACTGACATAGTAAAATAGACACTCCTCATTAAGAATTTTCACTTTTTATAGTCTTATTTATAGAAATGGAACAAATATACAACAGTCGGGTTTAATGATCCATTATTTCATGCAGTTTGACAAAGTAAGTCTTCAAAATTCGAAGTGTAAGCTATGTTTTTTTTAACAGTATCCAATTAAAACTATCCAACTACGCTTACCTATATGGAAAAATCATTAAACAACCCCACTACTTACATTATATACAGTATAACACCCATGGCCCAAACATCACAATTTTGGCTATATGTTTTGTTGTCTATAATTTCTGGAGCTAAAACGAAGAAAGGAAATCTTACTTGACTGCATTTTGAAGAATGAATCTAGTATAAGGAAGCGCCATAAATTATAAGTAAGTGTAATCATTTACTGAAAACTATATCATTCTTTGAAAAACTTTTACATGATTTTGTAAAAAAAATTATCATTACCATTCTTTGCATGACAATCATTGAGTATTACAGTGAACTTACACATATATATGGGGGTCCCACAAAAGTCCTGCATCATGTTGTCATGACCAGTCCCTCCTTTCACCACTGATAATCCAAAATCTGTCACCTGTAGGAGAGATGTGATTTATACACATTATAAATTACCAAAACATTACCATTCAACTTCACAAAAAGTTTTATAGTCATTCAACTTTAGCTTCTTTCATTGTCAGCATGCTTGGATTGCAAAAAAAAAAAATTAAATGTATATTTTTTTGCCAGTATGGTATCAGGTAATTTAATTTCCTTTACATGGTGGATGTTCCCACACTTTTTGTTGCTGTACTTTCAAAGACTGGCAAATCCTGGATTTCCTTTTTTCTTTTATGCCATATTATTTTTGGGACACCCCCCAACTTTTTATTTGTCAGATTATTTTGGAAGTTGAACTCCCAGCTTTTGCTACAGGCCTTCCTTAATAAGACATGATACACCAAAGAAGTCAATTAAAAAACTCCTATCAGTATCTATAAAGAAATAACACTCACTGAGAAAAATTGTTATGTCTTCCTCTTATTCATGTATAATGCTTAGTATATCCATTATACTATACTTACCTTGATATACAGTTTATCGTCTACATTATCAGGATTCTGAGCTAGAAGTATATTTTCCAGTTTCAGGTCTCTGTGAACTATGTCTGTAAGTAAATGAGTAAATAAATAGTTTCATTATATTCACATGTAAATGAATTATGCTACATGTAATTTAAATTTTACATTTTTTGTTGACGTTTTGTAGTTAGTCCAAAAAATGTCTCAAGCGTGAATTTTAAAAAAATATCAATTTTGATATATATAACAAAACATTGTGATGTTAACACTCATGTTGGCAAGATATAACAATATTTATGATTTACTGAAAACGCTCAAATGACTTATTTCGTCTAACATGTTGAAAATTCCTATATACACAGTATTGTTAAACATATGTGATGCAATTTGGTGTCACATATAAAACCTGTTTCTCTATTTAATTAAAATATATAGATGTCCCAGAGTTTATAACCTATGTTTACACATGTATCAGAAATAATACACAGCTCTTAGTCACAAAATAATTTGGTTCAATAAAACTATTTTGAGGTCTTAAGCTTCATGCTGCAATATCATTCCCTCTTTCACATGACATCTCACAATTTCAAATTCAGCATTTTTTTAGAAAAAAGAATATCTGTACCTTTAACTTAGGTAAAGACAAAATACATTTTTCATGTCAATTATTTCTCTTAATCAAATATATTTTAATATTATAATGCCTGTTAAGTTCCATCTTTTCTGGAATGAAATAAATACATTTATACAATTATGATTTGAATCCTATTACATGTATAGCATTAACCGAGAAACATAGTGTATGTAATACGATGTAACATAATAAACTTAGTTTTCTTGTGTTTAGAAATGACGTGTAAAATCTACTTACAGTATTAATTTTCTTTTTATTTTAAGATATATTTAGAAACTAATGTATGTATTGTATATTGAATCCTCTTAAAAGCTGAGTGTTGTAAGTATATAAATAATTGAATATAAATTTATCACTTTTCTTAAATCCTTATCACTTTAATTCAAAAGTACAAATATTTAATGAATTGACCTTTTATCCTATCAACAATTATAAAATGAGGATTAATTTAATATGTTCTATCATTCAAAGATTTTTACATGTAATACAGAATCTACAAGGATACTGTAATTTTAACATTTGTTTAATGCTTTCAAAGAACCAAAAAGTCATGGTGTCAACTTTTAAACTTGGAAATGATTTTTTGTATATTACAATGTATTCTAGGTATCCTTATCATTTTTCTAAACAATTTTTTCTTTGAAGGGAGAGGAGGGAGAGAGAGAAAAATAAGACTCTAAAAACAGTGAAGAAAAACAAACCATTTTTATGGAGGTATGATATGGCATTAGCTAGTCTTGTCATGATAATCTTGCATTCATTTTCAGGAAGAGGCTCTCGGTTTTTCATGACATCCGCCAACTCACCACCCTCACATAATTCCATCACTAGGTACATTTTCTAAGGAAAACAAGTACAAATTTAAATGCTTTGAATCAAGAGGCTACAATTTTTTTTTTCATATCTAGATTTTCTCTCAAGCCTTTATCTTTAAACATATAAACTCCTAAAAATGACATGTCTAAGATTCTGAATTGGAGTTATAAATTAACTTAAACTGTGCAGCACACAAAGAATTTCCATATGTATACCCATACCAAAAAAAGGTACAGATTAGGCATGCCTATTCTTGATAAATATAGGCACAAAAAAGGTATACCTAAAGTATACAAGTTTGGAACCACTTCTTCAAGTATAGGTAGCAAATTGGTACAAAAAAGGCATACTAAAGGTATACTTTTCAATGATTCATTTTTTTCTATTTCACATATAGGTACATTTTAGGCACACATAAAACATTAGATTGAGCAGTGAGGCATACCTAAAGTATGCCTATACATAGTATGGCATATAATTCTAACAGTCAGATAGGTACATTTTAGGTATACCTAAAAGGTGCCTACATATCAATCTATTAGGTACCTTCAAGGCTGTGCCAAAAGTATGCCAGAGGTATACCAAAAGTATACCTACAAGGTACCTATATTTTACCAAAAGCATTAATAGGCACATTTTAGGTACTAAAAAAGCACAATATTGGCACATCATCTAACTATACCAGTAGGTACATTCCAGGCATACCTAAAAAGTGCCTACATATCAATCTATTAGGTACCTTCAAGGCTGTGCCAAAAGTATGCCAGAGGTATACCAAAAGTATACCTACAAGGTACCTATATTGTACCAAAAGCATTAATAGGCACATTTTAGGTACTAAAAAAGCACAATATTGGCACACCATCTAACTAGACCAGTAGGTACATTCCAGGCATACCTAAAAAGTGCCCACATATCAATCTATTAGGTACCTTCAAGGCTGTGCCAAAAGTATGCCAGAGGTATACCAAAAGTATACCTACAAGGTACCTATATTGTACCAAAATCATCAATAGGCACATTTTAGGTACTAAAAAAGCACAATATTGGCACACCGCATAACTAAACAAAAAGGTACATTTTAGGCATATCAAAAAATGGGCTTTTGTCGACAAATCAACCACAAAACCCTGGAGTTAAAAATTTCTTTCTCCATCAAAATTTTTTTAATTTTTGGCCTAACATGAAAAATACATACTTATCATTCCTTGTGAATGGGACAGGACTATATCAAGGAAGAATTTAACAATAATTATCAGGTTCAAGTAAAAACAAGTAAAAATTTATTATATGATGCTACATGAAAATATATATGAAAAATAACTATTTTAAATCCTCTCTATAAACGGAATCTATATATGACAAATCTCCTATATTAAAAAAAAAATTAATATTGTTACCTTTAACAAAATAATGATATTTGTAATATCATTCTTTGCAAGAAAAAAATAAACACACCTTTTCAGCAAATACAAAACATAATTAATGCAATGTAAATACACAAAGACACCGTGAAGGTATTGAAAGTATACTCCATTTCATGTCCTTTTTTTTGGCCACACATTATTCACTTGCTGCATGTGCAATTCATGTAATCTTCATTACTTTCATAGAGTTTTTACCCAATTGGCACCACAGAATTTTCTGCACAGTAATAGACCTTTTACCAGGGTAAATACTCATTTCTGTACAGTTGCGATTTTCATCCGGACTCCTTATAAAAATTGATCCTCCATTTGAATGTACCACGCAATTCCTTCTTTCATGCCATTCCCTTCAATTCTGAAAAAGTTGTTGCTCTTGAGTCTTCACTTTGAAACTATTTTCAAAAATATTAAATCCAATGTGTGAATGTATACTATAGGGGAGGGGTCCGTGGAGTCTGGAACTTCCTTCCTACTTGCATTATGTATATATTATGTAATTAAATGTATATATATACTTATTCAATTAAAAGTGATTTGGACACTCCCCCCCCCCCTTACCCTGTTACGATCTGCATCTGAAATTCCTAAAATTTACAATGGAGTTTGAAAAGTGGTGATTAATTTTACTATATTTATATTTTTTTTCAAAATCAGATTAGATTTCATACTTACTGACAGAGTTATAGTCTTTATGCATTTCCCCCAAGTTTAGAATGACTACAGGGGACAAGAATTTTGCTGAAAAAGAAAGTTTGTTCATGAAATTATCTGACATTATTATTAACAAAGTTTACACTAATTTGTATACATAATATTTTTTAAATATAATACTGAAACATTGTCACTCTGAAATAAATTATGTGTGTCATACCCCCCCCCCCCCTCATTTTCCCTGGCATGAACCAAGTGGAGAGATGGGGTTTAAATGATTTTATGTAAACTTATAACATAAATTCAAATCAGTTAATTTTGTTATACTATGTTTTATAAATGCTGTAATTTTGATACTTTAAATTAAAACTATTACATGTAAGAACCCCCCCCCCATTTTTTTAAAATAGTGCCTTTACTTTATATTTCAAATTTCATATGCCAATGATTAAATTTTCACACTGATCATTTGAATTTCTGTTTGTTATTATCGCCATGCTCATGTAGAGGCTACTGTACATAACCTGTTCCCGCGATATTGACACGTTAATTACTGGTATTATTTTTTTTTAAAAGACTCTGAAACTGTGAAACACTTTTTATGTCTTGTTACACATCAGGTTAAACAAAATAATTATTATTTATATGTCTTCACTTCATGTGTAGGCTGTAGCACTGGCTACACGGCCATCTTGAATCAAAACAAACCAAAAATCTACGATACAATTACCTAGAACTTCGTAAAATTTACACTTGATATTCACATTCTAATGCATTCTTTACGTGCACAAATACACTAACAACAAGCAGCATGAAAATTTACACTGAAATAAAGACTTACCGAACTATAATTCTCCGATTTCTTTTTGAGGCTTTCATCTCGGCAAATTTTCAAAACGTCTCAGAAATGTCCGCGCTCTCCACTGACCAATCGTAGACTTCGCTGGAGTCACGTGATTTTATTAAAATTTATTAAATTATTCATAAAATATTTCGTGTAAACAATTTATAATTATAACAATGAACATTTAACAATTATTTAATGAAGCCCCAACTTAAACTGAAAGCCGATTGCGAAGAAATCCTAGAAATTTAGCGTGGCTATTTTGGGCAAATAATTGAACCGCCATCTTGACCGCCATTACTATTTTGTGTTTGTTTACATAACAAATCACCCTCAAATTGATTAGGCCCCCTATTTTTTTTTAATTATTCATAAATTTCTTTCATGTTAGATTTCAACTATAAAATCTTAATTAGTGTAACTGACACCAGAGATTGAAACAAACATCGAAATACATGTATGTAAATTATTACAGTATACAATCCATAAATGCTTAGTATGTGAACATGGTGAATAATTATAAATGATAAGCACCTGTATTTTGTGCATCTTGGGGGCTATTATTTGTATGAAAATTCTGTAAATGTACACTTTTTTTAACTGCTACTGCCTAACTACCGGCAAAGACCTATATACTACCAGTATATAGGTCCCTGCTACCGGTAAAAGTTAAAGCATCTCTATTTATTTCATTCTGTAATTTATTCTTCTGTATTTTACCCATTCATGTTGAGCTGAAAAATCTTATGAAATCACCGTTTTGTCATGTTTGTGGTTTGTGGAGAACTACATGTGATACACTAACAATTTCTGCAGGGTGAAGGTCATCCGGTATTAACACCGAATACTGAGGAAATCGACATCGTTTTGCATTCAAAGATAAACAAAGTCTATTTCAAAATACATCAGTAACTGGTCTAATGGATATAAATTCTCACCATATAAAATTAATCTAAACATCCCAAACATTTTTGTAGTTACAAAATGTACGAGAGAGAGAGAGAGAGAGAGAGAGAGAGAGAGAGAGAGAGAGAGAGATGCAGTGATCGCGTAATGGGACCTCTACTGGACATAGAGATGTGTATATAAATTTTATTAATGATAATTTATCATAAAAAGTTGTATCTGTTACAACTAGAGGGGTTTGCTAGCAAACCTGGTTTTGAAAAAAAAAATGTATTTAGTTTTTAAAACGTTTTATATCTTAATAGTTTATCAGTTTATTCACATAGTTAAAACATTCATTTATCATTAAATTATTTAAGAGCAAAAGAAATTAAAGAATTATACTGCAAGAATAATACAGAGAAGCATCGTAACTAAGCAGATTTGGCTGTTGGTTACATGACTTTGTGTCCACTTCACTAGGTGCATGGACTAAACCTGATCTCTCTGTGGATTACCTGTGTATTGTATCCGTTCAAGCGGAAAGTGATTTCCTGTCTCTAATTGACATATTTCACAGTATTGCAGAATTAGTTTTATAAATGCAAAAACTTGATAAAATGACATGTAAAAAAAAAATAATAATAATTTAGCAAGTGCGTGTGTAGTGGGGGGGGGGGGGGGGGGGTTAATGGTCAATATAATTGTATAGTGTTTATAAGACAATCCCCTATGTCTTAGAGAATGTTAATCAAAGTTACTAAGAACTGACACTCTTTAAGACAAACTAGTGCATATTTTAAGAACAGAAATGGATCTTTACCTTTTATTTTCCGTAAGAAGATTAATTGAATAAATGATAATTACATATTTGGCATTTGAGAGTAACAATGTTATCACCCCTCCCCATCACGTCACATTTTTTCTTTCCACAACACCGCTATATATTATACTGAGGACTTGAAATAATGATGTGAAATCTGAAGTATAATGTTATTAAAAATTAAATGCACAAAATGTTGAATGATAATTCAACCCCACCCCCCTACAACCCACCCCACCCACACCCAGATACAAAGAACCAGTCATCTAAAAAAGTATTTAAATTCAGACATTTTGAAAAATGACTGAGTCCAAAGTAGGTACATTTTATGCACACTGGAAAATATTTAAGTTCAACATAGGTACATTTCTGGCACACTGAAAAATGACAAAGTTCATAGTAGGTAAGATGGAAAATATCTAAGTTCAAAATAGGTACATTCTAGGCACACTGAAAAATGACAAAGTCTAAAGTAGGCACATTTCAGGCACACTGTAAAATGACAAAGTCCAAATTAGGTACATTTTAGGTACACTGAAAAATGGCAAAGTCTAAAGTAGGCACATTTCAGGCACACTGTAAAATTACAAAGTCCAAATTAGGTACATTTTAGGTACACTAGAAAAAAATAAAGTTCATTTTTGGTACAGAATAGGTATGCCTTTTCTGTACCTATAATAGTAGGTACACATTAGGCACAGAAAAGGCACAAAAAAGGTATGCCTATATGTACCTTTTTTTTGTATGGGTATATATAAATATAAATGTAAGAATATTAAACTATTTTACATATTATATGTACTCGTATAATTAAAGTCTCTGATTTTACATTTAAATCTCACTATAAACCTTAATAATCATTTTTATCACAATAAGTTTATCTTATTTACATAATTGATATCTCACTCCTTTTCATTTATCACTTCCTTTTGAATCAAATCACATTTATTAAAGATTTTTCTAATTTTCTTGCTATAAAAAGCACAAAGGATTACAGTCATAAATCTGAGAAAATGTAAACACTGCTATTTGCTTGCCTTTGGTGCGAGGTACGAGAGATATTACCTTGGCAGTTTCAAACACTTCATTGAGACTGATGATGTGTTCATGCAGAACTCGTTTTAGAATATTCACTTCTCTCTCCAGAAGCTTAATAACTGGACCTCCAGCCTGTAAAAAAGGAAAAATAAAATATCAGATCTGTACTCCTCTCTGTAAGAAATAAAAGATAATTCTCAGATTGTTTCTTTTGTCTACAAAAAGGAAATGAAATATCAGTCTTATTGATCAGTCTTATCGTCTATTCAATAAGAGGAAATTATCACTTTGAGACCAGGGTTTTCTTTCTGCATGTAAAGAATACAAACAAAAGGCCTATGGACCACTTTGCTCATCACCAAGCACAATGGTTGGGAGAAAGCAGAAATCAATTAAGTATTGAGGATAAGGCATGATTTGTTCAAACTTGAATAAAAAAGGTCTCCACATTTGATCTTTTGTGGTCCCCCTCAATCCAGCCCTGAGGGTTACTCCCTTGGAATAATGTGCGAGTCTCTACTGTGACCCTTCATTCGAACAAACTTGAATTTTCCTAATTCAAAGATACATCATCCAAAGTTTTGTTGAAATTGACCATGTGTTTCTTTAAGAAGTCAAACTGAAAATGTGCAAAGTCTATTAAAGAATAGACAGACACCTGCTGAATAAAATGTGATCAGAACTTCCAAAGCTTCAGGTGCCTACACTAGATCCCTATTTCTGTTAAAGGTTATGAATTAAAGAAAATTAAGGCACTTCAATGTATCAACATCTTTTCTTCAAAGCATAGAAAAATCCTGCAAATATATTTATGTAGACAAAAATTCAACCGTGAACCCCCAATTATCATGATTACTAGAATTTTGTGATCGCATGAATTTCAAAGTAATCTATGCTACCTACAGTAACATTCAGTGTCTACAGGTCCCTGGCACAGTTTACATATAATTAACTCTTTAATTACACCCCTCCCTTATCTTTCTTGCTTTACTCAGTTTGACCTTCACCCATTCCACGGTCCCCATTTCCAGTCCCGTTTTTTGTCTTTGATCAATATATACAAAGTTTAACCCAATTTCTCCATTTAAAGCAAGACTTTGAGAAATCATTTAAACCTTTCATAATCTACATTCAGATCTTCTAAAGAAGCAATTTTCTTCCAATCTTTGATAGCACAGCAATGTGTCCTATTATTACCTCCAAGGCTAAAAGGACTGATTGAGTTGTCTCAGATTTGGAGGGTAACATCTCAATATCCCTTACATGCTAGGGCTATTTTACAATAACACACAGATGGTTTAGGTCAGAGTTTAGTCCACCCCTTGCTAGACTGTTGTGGTATGATCTATTCTACCTTAATCTGCTTGTCACCACTAGACATCTCCAGCTCACCCCTCTAAATTGGAAGGACTCTCCACATGCTGGTCTGCATGTGCACTCAAAAATGTACACATCATATTAATTATCTTCAATGGCCGATCAATGTATTGATAGAGTGACAGACAACCTATTCAACATATTTTTTTCTGGAAACTTTTTTTTCTCTTTTTGAGGGAAAGAATTCAATAGGACATGAAGGGCTTTTGACGTCTTTGCACTTGGAAATATTGTGAACAACTTAGATTAAATCATTTCATTATTTGTTGAGCTATTTATTCATACATGTACATTGTACATGTCTAAATAACATAAGGAAAGAAATCTTTATCTTTTGTTGCAACTTTGTCCTAATCATAATGCAATAGTAACTTCATTTTGCAAGTTTTGCTTAACAAGATAATACTCAAATCCAATATTCACAATGCACACAAAATATACACATGTACCTTTTTTTCAATATCAGATGTAAATAAAAGCTATGTGTATTTACTCCTCTTATTTTCTTAAAAGTACAAATTAAATTTACCAAGAAAAACTAAGCTTTAATCTCACTGATCCCCACCCCAATTCTGAATGACATTGACCCTTTACCTTTTCCTTGTTGATGACCTTTATGGCCCAATATTTCCCAGTCTCCTTGTGTTTGACTTTGAACACTTTGCCGAATGTGCCTTGCCCGATTTTCTCCCCGGGTTCGTAATTTTCCCATATCCAGCTCTCATCATTGATTCGGGTGTGGGGGATGGTTTTCACATCTGCACTGCCTTTGCGACTCATATTCATGGACAGTCATTTAGTTATCTGCAAAGAATGAAAGAAATATCTAATTGTTTTACGTAAAAAAATTCATCATTTGTATCTAGGCATTGTGTACAATCACATAGGTGCCTGCAGACAGTTTATGTAATAGATGATGTTTCCAATAGAAGCAATATTATCTTTTCTTATTACATTGCTAAAAGCAGTTCTGCATCTAAATAATTCATAGAACAATTTCTCCTTTCCTTCTTTCAATCTACTTTTATGTTTTAGTGCAATTAATTATTAAAACAGCAACACAGCTTAGAACATTTTGGGGGCTGTTTGAGAAATATTGCTATCATGCATGATCATACAGTTCACAGATAACCTCTAAAACCACTTGCTTGCATCAAAGAGCACAACATTCCATTCATGAATTCTTAATTCAGTAATCATTTGCAAAGCCATTGCTTAGATTGAGTCTTAAATTTAACATTGGCAGTTTTTAACCTTTTAAAATAAAATAAAACACTCATGGATCAATGATTTTGTTCATTCCCTGTGTCCTTGCCTGACGGACCTGTTAAGAAAGTTCTTTTTAATTCTTTTTTCCCAACCAAAAAAATCCAATAATGACCCATATCACTAGAGAACAATGTTTGTTTAACTAATGAGAAACAACAAGTTTAAATCCATAGTCTTCAAAAGACATGAACTCAAAAGACTTGAAATTACCAAAGAAATACACAAATGTTTAAATAACCTTCCAATGGGAAGCCAACAAAGAGGCTAAGTTTACTCATTTAGAAATACTGTATATAGAAACATTTTGGTCTTCGATTAGATGCAGTACAAGACAGAGCTTCAGGTTTGCACGAATCTGGCACGACACGCAGACTGTATATTTTTTTAAGTTGATCAGCTCAATACCCGTTATCAAATTATCAAACCAATTGTCCAGTTGTAAAAACAGCTGCTCCGGTATAGCTTGATTGTGTTTTATATCTTTCAATTCCACACAAAAGTTTTCATGCACAATTACACATAAAACGTTCCTTCGACTTGAACAATCAAAACGCTACAATTCAAAATTAAAAGCCACAGATTTTAATCCTCATTACCTCGAGCTTATATATACACGCTATATTTTTAGATGGCACCATTATAATTCCTTGTACTTTCTTGTGTGGCTGAATCACTTATCAAAATAAAATTGATTCAATGACATAAATGTCCATGTAGTGCAAATAAGTTAAACAAATAGGACTAATAATTGATAAGTTGCCACAATTCACTCAAAAAATTAGAATTTTAAGTTCAACTAGCTGTTACTGGTTTTTTTTTTCTTTCAAAATTGATGATGCAGCATATTTAGTACCAGTTCATTGAATTAAGTCATGAAATACTAGTACATTGCGGTAGAGTCTCCGCAAATAAACAACAAATCTATCAGTGGGGGTATTAAAAGGAATTGATTTTTTTACAATTCAAATCATCAATTAATTCATTGGCTTCCAATTATACTCCATCACTGAAAGCCTTCACAATATGAATATCAAAGCATGTACGTCACCAAATTAAAGATTACCCAACCGTCTCTATTAAATCATTGCCATCCAACAAAAGAACGTCGATAAGGAATTGATTCTAACTTCAGGTGGTGATTTCCTAAAACAACTGAAAGGATTTGAGAAAGAAACAACGAAACTTCAAGACCTAAACATAATCAAAGGCAAAACAATATTACACATCGAAACATAATGCTGAATACAAGTTCTGGCTTAGATGCAAATAATATATTCCACTGCACAACCAATAAACATTAACAGAAATTGTGCATAAAATATAGGGAAATAAAATTGATTCTACAATATACTTAGCAAAGATGTCCATCATTAGTAAAGCAACATTACATATTAAACCGGTACTCCAGGAATCCCTGTAGTAAAAGATGCTATTATGGTATTAGTCAATACCTGCTATATCATCAATATGTTCATTATATATTTCATCTCTGACTTGCTGATGCATATTGAGACTTAATTGACAATCTGATATTTGTACAATTGTAACACTGAAATATAGCTAAAGCATAAAAAAGATGATAAATGTACCAGGATGTACAAAGAGTATCTATTGAGTATACCTATTGTCATGACTGAGTCCCTACTTCTACGACTAAATATCCCTTTTTTAAACATGTTAAAAACGTATATCTGTCTCCTGGTTGACCATGACACTGATTTTATTCTCATAAAATGTAGAAATGTTAGACTCATCAGACATAGTTTAAGGTTAAAACATACCTTCATCATACACCGTTATACAGCTGTAAACTAAAGCATCATCTCTACTGCACTTTTAAACTAGTCATACAAAATACTAATTCTTAGTTCTACGGCAATGCCTTGCCATGATCGAACTTCATGAAATTGGTCACTAATATCTAAAAAATGTAGGAAGATGACCAAGCAAAAAATATAAAACATACACGACTGATTGCAGATTCCTGAAACAACCTTATCTGAGGTTGGATAAAGACAGGTCTTGCCTTATGACTTAAATCTATTCCCTACATTTGCAAAAATGTAAGTAGTATGAAAGAAACTGCTGAAACCCATTTATAAAGTCTATGGTATTTTACTTCATAAATTTCCTTTTGGATGAATTAAACGTATAATTTTTCTTTTCAAAACTTTATTACTTGTCATACAATGTAAGGGTTAATTCCATTGGCTTTTTCTTTTATTTGTTTGAAGTGCCTATATAATATATCTAATTTCATTCTGTACTAATTTTTCTTTTTTTGAATTGGCCTGGAAATAATGAAAATAAGAAACTTGAATACATGTATTTAAATAAATCTATCTAAGCAACACAGAAGAATTCCAAACAAGGTATTTAGCAGTAATGTTCTCATATGTCAAAAATAAATGGTTAATTTACCCAGGAAGCCTCAATATTTGCTGGAAGTGCTTACAGCAAAATCTTTCAATCAGGTGCAAATATTGACACCTTTATTTTATATCGTGTGAATCGTTGCCCATATTTTCTCTGTGATTTAAATCTTTTAGTGACAGACACTTGCTGCGTACTGCAAAACAAATACTTCAGCTTAAAATTCAACACTATTACAGCCAATATCAAGGCATCACAAACATTTACATACCATTCTTATGAGTTTAAAAACGTATTTCCCGAATACAAGGTAAAATGTAAATTAGAACAGTTAAGTTTACTTTTTATATAATTTATCAATTCCCTTTCCTAACTTAACTTCTCTAAAATTTTCATTTCTTATATGAATAAATTTGATCTTAATTGTAGAATGTAAATTTGAATGTATAGTTATGGAAAAATCTAAAATCACCAAAACTTCTAAGCGAGTTAAAATTACTTGTTGGTATCAATATGGATATCTTGAATTACACATGCTATGGATATGTACTAAGGTTTCTTATTCTTAAAGTATTTAAACCCTGATATCACAATTCCTTGGATATCTTGAAGTTTTCTCATGGCCCCATTGAGGTTAAGATAGAAACATTTGACTGTTACTCAACACATATATGTACACAAAAACATTATAAATTTAATTCTGAGAATAAATCTACAACAAAAGAAAGACACTTGCCATGGACAACATTTAGCATTTCTTATCGTCATCATGTTCATGAATTGATCAAATCTTTGTCCTAGCTCACACACATTGATACCAATTCTTCATATTTTTACCCTTCTTATGCTCAAACCTCTTTTCATCTGATGCTTATAAAATCAAAGAAATAAATACTGTTTGAAGATGAATTTTGATTAAAACTACAATTCGGAAATCACTAATTGAGTCTACCTTGGTTTGCTAAACTGTCTTCGTGCTTAAATCATTGTAGATGTGTACCTACTACCTAACATACATAGACTTAATTCAAGATATATTTTAAGAGGAGAAAACTTATTCTACATATCAGTTCTGGTCATTTCTCAAAGGACGAACCTTAAAGCCATTCCGTCACCTGTATGGTTACTGAAAAGTCTTGAACAACCACTGAAAAACAGAGCTTTATCATTCAGTCATGTTTCAGTATACACTGTTCATCCAGTCACCCTTCAGCATACACACTGTACATTCAGTTACCTTTTAGTATGTACACACTGTACATTCAGTCACCTTTCAGTATATAATCTGTACATTCAGTCACCTTTCAGTATATACACTGTACAACACTGTACATTCAGTCACCCTTCAGTATATACACTGTACATTCAGTCACCCTTCAGTGTATACACTGTACATTCAGTCACCCTTCAGTATGTACTCTGTACAGCACTGCTACTACATTCAGTCACCTTTCAGTGTGTATGCTGTACATGCTGTCACAATTCAGTTTACACTGTTTAGCAGTCACCTTTCAGTGTATAGAGTGTACATTCAATTCAGTCACCTTTCACTATAATTTATTAACTGTACATTCAGTCAACTTTCAGTATATACAATGTACGTTCAGTCACCTTTCGGTATATACAATATACATTCAGTCATCCTTCAGTATACAGACTGTACATTCAGTCACCTTCCCAGGACTGTACATTCAGTAGCCTATTAACAGTATATAGACTGTACATTCTTTCACATTTCAGTATGTAGATGTAAATTCAGTCACCTTTCATTATAATAAATGGTTAAGAACTTCATGTTGCATCAGTTTAACATGTTCAATTATAAGTTTTTGTTTCACACAGTCACAGAATTCATGGGGTATAAATTTGAATGTTATGTCCGAATTACAATGGCCAGTCACCAGTCACAATATAAAAATAAGCATTTAGCCATTACATTCTCCAGGAAAGTTCATTAAATCTATTGACTAAAAGAACTTATTTTGGGTTATTTCTTCTTTTTATCTACCTAACAATATATATCAAGGTCTATACACATATAATCACAATTCAATCATCAAAGCATTTAAATTCTGGCCAAAAGTTAAACATACAACTAAAACATACAAATGTACCCCTTCACCTTAAGTATTGTTAGTGCCTTTAAAGTCACCAGGCTTTTGATTT